AAGCACGCATGCAAGAGGACCACGGGAGACGCTTTTAAAGTGACAAAGGAAAGTCCTGGCAAGTTCTTTGGGAAAAACTTTTCCAGAATGGTGCCCCTTGATGCAATAATTTAAGGAATTTCAAGCCTTGCTCGAATATTTAATAACATTAATGGAGTATTGTTAATTTCTCATGTGTGATACAGCTAATTTCTTAAGATTTTAAGATCACTACCTTTCATGATTTGAAGCCATCATCTTTTACAGACGTTCTCAAATTTTAGGCAGGTGCTATACAATTTTTGGGAGGAATTGGCCAGGGTGTTGATGAACATGGGCCCAGAGCTGGTCACTATTAAGCTGGGGAAGACCACTCACACATGTGTTACGTGGCACCCTCCTAATTATAAACAGCTTTGGAATTTTTTATTATAAAAATGAATTGAGTTCATAAAACAAATGAATGAGGACCTGAGACCTTCTCAGACAAACAAAACCTAGGCGAATTCTGAAGAGGGAGCCTGCTTCTCCCTCTGCCTGTGTCTCTGCCTCTCTGTGTGTATCTTTCATGAATAAATAAGTAAAATCTTTAAAAAATAAATAAAATAAAATTATTTTTTTCCTTTAGTTATCGTTGATCTAAAATAGGGGTAGGCAAACATTTTAAAGGGGCAGATGGTGGATATTTTGGGTGTGGGAACCTCTGAGGTCTGTGGTAATAACCCAGCTGAAGTGAATATGGAAGCCTGAAACAGGATCCAGGTAGCCACAGGGTGTGGCTGGGGGCCCAGAAACCCTTTTGGCAAAAAATGGGCTGCAGACCCTCACTCTAAAAGGTAACAGCCTGAGAAAAGATGGAAACAATGTGCTGTGTGTTTACAGAATACGTAAAAGGAGAAGACATGACAGTGGCAGAAAATGTGGGAGGAGTGACTAGGATATCTAGGATATCTTGTTATCGATTGCTACACCACATGGAGAGTCACATAACTGATGTAGCGACTGTGTGTTCGAAGGTAGACTCTGATTCTTAAGAATGTACATTGTGAGCCCTAGGGAAACCACGGGTATTTTTTAAAAGGAAAATAAATACTAAGCCAACAGAGAAGATAAAATGAAATCATAAAATGTGCTCAATTAAATTCAGAAAAGGCAGAAAGAGAAGGAAAAACAAAGTAGAAATGCAACAAATAGGAAAGATCAAGATGGAGGATTTGGGTCCAACCATCTCAGCCATCAGTTTGCATGTGAAGAGTCTAAACAGTGCAGTGAAAAAAACAAATAATAAGACTGGATCTTAAAGATTTTAAGACCTTGCTTTAAAAAAGCAAAAATTAACTATATTGTGTCTACAAGAGACCAAATTTCAATATTAACATATAGATATGTTAAAAGAAAAAGGACGCAAGGATGGAGGAAGATACCATGTAGCCACTGATAAAAAGAAAGCCGAAGTAGCTGAGTTTTTATCAAAGTAGATTCAGAATAAGGACTATTATCAGAGATAAAGAGGAACACAACATAATAATAAAGGGGACGACTCAAACATGTATGCGCCTAACAACACCCTCAAAATACATGAGGCAAAGCTGCTGGAGCTGGAAGGAGAAGCCCACAATTTACATCAGAGACGGCGGCTCTCCTCTCCCCGTAATCGATGGAACAGGCAGACAGAAAATCAGTGAGGATATATTAGGCCGAACAACACCATCCCCGACGAGGTCTGATTAGCACTGATTGAACGCTCTTCTCAAGCGCTCATGCAACATTCACCAAGACAGACTATTCTGGGCCATAAAACAAACCTTGACAAATCTAAAAGAATAGAAATCATACAAGATGGTCTAGCAGGTCATAAAGGAAGGAAACTAGAAATCAAAACCAACAGGTCCACACTGCCCGACTGCAGAGGTGGTGCCAAGTCCGTGCAGAGAATCCGGATTCGGGCCCTGGGCTTTGTGTGGGCGCAGAGCAGGAATGGGCCGGCCCCACATCTAGGCTGTGGGGCTGGCAGCCTGGTGCACGAGCCCCATGACGTGGTTGATCCTATTTGTTTGGAGGGGACAGCTGTGGAGTTTGTGGCAAGGCACAGTGGGAGATGCAGGCCCAAATCCGAGGGGGGATGGGCCCAGCAAAATCCATCACAAGCTGGGGGTGGTGTGCATACCTGGGGCTCACACAAGAAGTTTCACAAACAAGTAGCCTAGGACTCGGGGCCCCACTGCCTTCAGCCCACTCGTACAGCCACGTAGGAAATCCCAGAGGACCCGCCAGAGGAGGAGGAGGAAGGTCCAAAGCTCGGTTCATGGGTGCGTTGGGGACGAGCTGCCCTCCAACCTCCTCGGGGTGACCTCAAGAGATAGGGAAGAGAGAAGGTCATCCAACGGGCTGGGCTCTGGGCGGCGCACCTGCTCATTCACGTTGTGCACCGAGGGAGTTGCCCTGAGGTCAGAAGGCGCACAGACCCTGGGGAGGGAGACCCGGTCCACCTGGGCGGTCAGGAGTCCGAGGGACCAAGACTGGAGAGGACAAGAGGGTCGGGTTCATGTGGGCAGGCACCTGCGAGAGGACGTGAAGCAGGAAGCTGGCAGCTTTGCACGTCAGTGCCCATGAGTGTGTCCGCCACAGAGGCACTCCATTCACCCCTGAGCCAACCAGGCGTCGTTAGCCAACCTCGGTCACTGCCCCCCCCACCCAGGCCGGCTTGTGGACATTTGAATGAATGTCCCCGGAGGTGGAGAGGAGGCAGCTGCAGACCCCGCAGCACAAGCTCTGCTCACCCACAGGGCTGCCCAGCTGCCGGCAACATGTGGCTCATGGCTCGAGGGGCCCAGAGGACCACGCGGTGGCAAACTGACCACACTGGGTCCCTCCCAGGATGTACGGGCCTCTCTTCGTCTTCATGAGAAGAGATTCTGGATGTGGGGTTGGCTTCCCTACACCCAGACCTCCACCTGGGGCACCACCCCCTGAGCATGCGCTCCACTGACTGGTCCCCTCACACCATCACATCAGACCAGGAAGCCCGTTTTACAGCAGTGGGGTGGGGGGGAACCCTGTGACCACAGGGACCTCTGGCCACATCCCATGCTGACCACCCACAAGCCATGAGCTGACAGGACCCTGGGAGCAGCTGTCAGAGGCCCCTCTCCGAGAGATGGGGCACTAAATAGGGGAGCGTGGCGGGGCCCGGGGGCCCTAGGAAGACCCCTGGGAACCAGGGGTGCCAGTGGGCAGCCCACGCTCTGTGGTTCCGAGCACTCAGGCGTCCACAGCTCCAGCCCTAGAGCCCCGGGCTCTGCAAGACCTGGAGGTTCTGGTCCCCACAGACGGGCACGGAGAGGGTCCCATTGGATTGCAAACCTCGGCTGCCCTTGGGTACTCAGGCATCAGGCCATGTGTGGGGAGCATCAAGCCGGGAGGGAGGGGGTCGCCGTCTTGCCAAGGCCTCATCCTCCAACCACAGGGCATGGGGAGGCATGTATGCGGGACCCACGTGACCTGCTTGCACACCCGTGGTGCCCCTGGCCCTGCCATGGCAATCCATGGGTAGGCCTGGCAACACCCCCTGCGATGTCACAGTGGTGGCCCCGGGCGCCGGTGAAGAAGGCCTGGTCACACCCGGGGAAAGCCGGTGAGGTGCGTGGCAGGGGGGGAGTCCGGGCTAGACGGGCAGGGGGGAGGCTGCATACCAGCCAGGGCCCCCACCTGGCTGTGGGGAGGCTGCTAGCATTTATCCAGCAGCCAGGACCTGTCAGGGTGCTCGTGGGTCCACAGAGCCTGAGGCCCTGATGCTGGCGTGACTTGGTGAATGAATGCATGGGGGAAGGAATGAATGAATGAAGCTCGGCCCACAGGCTTGGAAGTGAAGCGTTGCCGAGCCTCTCGCCTAAGAGAACCGATCATTCATTTTTGTAACTTGTTAGACCAGGAACCAGGACCCAAAGAGGCCCGGTGAGGTCCCCAAAGCCGTGCACTGGTGCGGGGCCCAGGGCGGCACGTAGGCCGAGGGTCTGGGAAGAGCCCCTCTTCTTGCAAGCAGCTCACAAGGACTTCCGGGACCCAGAACCTCGTCCTGGACCGACCAGTAGGGTTTCGGGTGATGGGTGCGCGCTCCCAGGATGGACGAAGCAGGGGATGGCATTCGGGGTCTGAGCCCCCCAGGATGCCTGTCCTGGGCGCCTTCTCCGTCCCCCGCCCCCCACGAGCCCCCGGGCTACCCCCGCTCCACGCCTGAACCGTGGCCTTCACAGCTTCGTCAAGGGTGAGCGGGAGGTGGCACGTGTCCCGTGGGAGCCCCGCGTGGCCAGCTCCTCCCCGGGCCCCGTCAGGGAGGTCACTTTGCTGGCCTGTCCTGGGCCATGGTGTCTGCACCGTAGAAATCGGCAAATGCTACCGAGCAGAGCTTTTCCAGCCCAGGTAACTGGTTATTAAAGCTTGACCGGCACGAGGCCGCTTCTGTCCTCGAAGCCTCCTGGGAGTGACCCAGAGCAGGGGCATCTCTCTCGAGGGTGACCCACGTGGCTGTGTGCAGGGAGGAGGCTGGGAGGGGCCCCGGGGCCCCCAGGGAAGCCCAAGTTCCCAGTCCCTACCAAACCTCCGACCACACGCACACTCAGGCCCTGCCCCTCGCTGTCCCCGGCCTCCTCTGCTTGGAAGGCCCTGTCCCCGACTGGCCCTGGCCGACCTTCCGTGCCCCCTGCAGGAGCCACACCTCCCAGGAGGCCATCCTGCCCCCCATCGGGCTCAGCACTGACCCCCCCCCGCCCATCACCCAGGGCCCCAGAGCACGTGGACCTGGCACGTGCTGGCCGCAGTGATGACACAAGGGGAGGATACTGCAGTCATCCAGGGCACCTCAGGGGCTCTGTTCCCCAGAGGCTTGAGGGACGAAGCTGTTCCCAGGACCCTCCCTGCCACCCCTGCCAGCCTGGCCAAGCCCCCTCCCACCGCGTGGGAGAGACGCCTGGGGGCCCACAGTGTGCAGAGCTCTTAAATGAGAGAGGCCACTGCACAGAAAGTCTGGAAAGTCAGAGCTATTATTTGGGGGCTAAACTGTGGTTACCCGATAACAGAGCCTTAATGCTGTGTGCCTTGAGCAAGCGTCTTAACCTTTGTGCCTGGTTCGCCTCCTCCGGGGTCCTCGGGGATGGTCTTGAGGATTGAATGAAATGAGCCCCTGGGAGGCACTCCTCCCAGACGTGGGAACAGAGCTCCCGCGGTTCCCTGGGTCCAGGCCCGGGGCTTCGGGTCGTGACCCAGGTCTGCTCTCCAGCTCGCTTACTCTCGTGTTTTTCCTCCTCGGGCTTCAGTTCTCACTGAAAAGCCACTTTGGTCGTTGCCAAGGCGTCGTGGCCGTGCTGAGCTCCAGCAGGGCTGTCACCCCGGTGGGGCGCAAGCGAGCGAGTGAGCAGGGCTCAGCGTGGGGGTCTCTGGAGTGGCTGGGGCGGGGCCCTGGGAGGGGAGCAGCCCGGCACCCACCCGACATTCAATGCCCGGGCGTGCAAGGGGTGAGCAGGGCCGCGGTTCTTCCCAAGCCCCGGGCATGGGTGAAGAAGGCCTGGCCCCAGGCGCCTGCGCCCTCCTCCCTCCCGCTGCAGGAGCAGCACCGGCTCCGGGAGGCCAAGTCCCCTGAGCAGAATCACAGCAAAGGGGCACGGGCTGGATGCGCACCCGGGGATCTGCCCTGTGCTCCGTCCCAAATGCCCCGTGGACGGCTGCAGAAACATCCAGAGAGGGGACGGGATGGGGGAGGGAGCCGGAGGCCACCACAGGCCGCCTTGCAGCCGACTGTCCCTCTCCTCTGAAGAGAGGGCGAGACCCGGGCAGGCTTCCTGGAGGGGGACCGATGAGCAGGACCTCGTCCCTGCCCTTCTGTGGAGGGGAACCGTGGGGGACATCGCTCCCAGCCTCCCCAGATCCTCCTGTGGGCCGCCCCCCCCATCTCAGCCCCGCTCACCTTTCATGCACTTGCCCTCCTGACTCAGGACCCTGCACCTGAGTGGCCTCCACTCCAGGAGCTTCCTGGGGCCAATTCATAATCACGTCCGCTCTTGGTCCAGTTCTCCCCCAGACCCCTCTGCGGCCTAACCCAGGGTGCCTGCCGGTCCCCTGAGAACGCCTAGCCCCACAGTCCCCTGACTCGGTGCTGACTAGCAGGGCAGTGAGGTGGATGGGCACGCACACATACTCGCCGGGAGCGACATAGGCATCCGGGCTGCTCCACCTACGCTGTGCACCCTTGGCTCTGACCACCCTGGCCCCGGGCCCCTTGGGAGCTGTGGTTCCCCCCATCAGTGTTTCCCCCACCGTTGGACTCAAGCCCCAGAGGGCAGGGTCTGGGTGCCTCGCTGCTGTCCTCGGAGCCTACGCATGGCACACGGTGCGTGCCAGGAGGGATGCCCGTGAATAATGAACTCCGGCCCAGGGCTGGGGTGGGGGGTCGAGGCAGCGGAGGGGGGCAGTCAGGGTGCCAGCACTCAGCCCCCTCTGCGCCCCCACCCCCACTGCAGCACCCGGTCGGCTTCCAACAGGACTTCCTGGCAAAGCCCGCTTAAGTTCCTCTTGCAAAGCAGAACCGCGGCGTGAAATCATTGAGGAAAATCTAATTAACCAACTGGATAAAGAACCTCACGTAAGATGGACTTTCCAGCGACCACGGCGCTTGCTCCTTGGAACGAGGCAGAGCCGGGCCTCTGACCCAGTTTGAGCGTCTGTCCCGCCTGAACCTGGCAGGACACCGAGTTGGCAGTCGCTCCTGAGATGCACTGTCATTCCTGTGATCGAAGGGCACAGGCTTCCCAACCGACCTTGACCGACCGCGGCTTCCTCTTGTCCTGGATTCGCCGAGAGGACGGTCCCCATGCAAAGCCACCAGGGCCTCTTCTGCTTCTCCCTCTGCTGGTTGGCATGTGTGCACGCGTGCAAGTGTGTGTGTATGTGTGTGTGCTGAGCAAAAGGCCTGGGGCCAAGGAAATGCAGGTGCTCAAGACACAGGCTTTGCCTTCTAGAAGCTCCTGATCTGATGGAGGAGAGAGACACATCAACAAATAATTAGGACACAGGAAAATTTTAAGAGGAGCCATCTGAGCGTGAGGGTGAGAGTTTAGTCCTGAGGGCATCAGAAAGTGCTTTACCGCAGGTGGTTATTATGCATTAGTGGGGTTTTGAAGGACGAATAGGAGTTTGCCAGGTGGGGCATAAAGGCACCCAAAACAGTGCACCCGCAGTGCAGAGAATGAGGAGTGAACTCCTTGTGTTCTGCGTATTTGCGTGAGAGCTACAAGCCATGTGGCATTGCTAGCAGCTGCGGCGCGGGGCCGGGAGTAGCCTGGGGAGGATGGAGCCTTACAGGCCGTGCAAAGGAGCTCGGCCTCTATTCTGTGGGGCCGGGCAGTGGCCGAGGACTTGGGGCAGGGTTTGATTGGGGAGAGCAGGAAGGCAGGACGCCCAATGAGGAGGCAGCTCAGACAGTCTGGCCAAGGCTGCCGCACCCCTGCCCCAACGCAGCTCAGCAAGGCACTGCCTCTGGCAGGAGACAAGGGGGCAGCTCGGGGGCCCCACCCAGGGAAACACAGTGGGACCATCAACGGGCACCCACACTGAGCCCAGCTCCCTGGTGCATCCTCTCCTCCTGTCCCCATGAGGTTACGATGAGGTCACTTCCACCAGGGGCCCTGAGGAGTCAGGGAGCACCTGGGGAGGAAGGAGTCTCAGCCCCTGGCTCTGGCCCCCCACCCGGTTCGTCCGGGTGGCCTTCCTCCTCAGCGCTTCGACCCTGCTTAGGGCCACCTCCTCCAGGCAGCCTCCCTAGCTGCTCAGGGGTCTCCCCTGTGAGGAGCAGGGGGTACTTCCGCGGCTCTGGAGCACAACACGTGAGAGGCTGGTCTCAGGTCCACACATGTCCAGGGTTTGTAGAGAACACGGTAAAAAGGAGGAGTGAGCCTGTAAGGACGAAGCCAGTGTTCCCGGCCTCCAGAAAGGAACTTCCACCACCAGGCTACGGACTGCCCATCCCTGCCCTGCCCCAGCGCTGCCCCAGCCCTAACCCTGTCCTGACCCTGCCCTGACCCTGTCCTGACCCTGCCCTGACCCTGCCCTGGCCCTGCCCTGACCCTGTCCTGACCCTGTCCTGACACTGCCCTGACCCTGCCCTGGCCCTGCCCTGACCCTGTCCTGACCCAGCCCTGACCCTGTCCTGACCCTGCCCTGACCCTGCCCTGACCCTGTCTTGATCCTGCCCTGACCCTGTCTTGATCCTGCCCAATCTGCCCAGCCCTTCCATGCCCTTGTCCTGACCTTGACCCTGCCCTGATCCTGCCCAGGCCTGCCCTGCCCCTGCCCTGACCCAGCTCTGACCCTGTCTTGACCCAGCCCTAACCCTGTCCTGACCCAGCCCTAACCCTGTCCTGACCCAGCCCTGACCCTGCCCTGACCCTGTCCTGACTCAGCCCTGACCCTGCCTTGACCCTGCCCTGACCCTGTCTTGATCCTGCCTAATCTGCCCAGCCCTTCCATGCCCTTGTCCTGACCCTGACCCTGCCCTGATCCTGCCCAGCCCTGCCCTGCCCCTGTCCTGACCCTGCCCTGACCCAGCTCTGCCCCTGTCCTGACCTTGCCCTGACCCAGCTCTGACCCTTCCTGATCCCCCTGACCCTGTCCTGACCCAGCCCTAACCCTGTGCTGACTGGCAGAGACAGCGAGCAATGCCGGCCACTGGTCCTGCTCTTCCGTGTCCCAGTATTTTATGATTGGAGGAGGGACAACTAGCCGGCTGCTGCAATGATCGTGAATAAGGAGGGGGCCCCAAAGCATTTCACATGTTTTAATTCCTGAGATCAAAGCTTTTCCTCCATCCCCACAGCCGGCCACAGAGACCCCATGAGGCCCATCCTCAGCTCTGGGTCTGGGCAGCTCGCTCTCTCTCGCTCTAATTGTTTGCTTCGGGCTCCTGTTTGCCCCTTCCCACACATAAACCATCATCCAACGGGCTTAAGATAGATTTTTTTTGTTGTTTGATTATGTTTTGGCAAAATGTGCATTGTGACTCGCGTCTATATTTTTAATTTTGGTGAATAGCCTCATTTGGTGGCTCATCTTCTCTCTGCACTGAACCCCTGGGGCTCATCCACCTGCTGCCGAGCACGCCGCAGGGACGGCCCCAGAGCCTCCCCATCCCCAGCTGACCTCCTATCCCACATGGCACACAAATGCTCAGCACTCACGCACCCCAAGGGCAGAAAGAAGGCTGACCCTCCAGACCGCAGCCCGCTGCCGCCGCTGTCCTCTCCCCACAGCTGACGCTCCAATACAAGCCCTCCTCATACAAAGGACTTGAATTTAAAAGCGCCCCCCCCCAAGGCCTGCAGAGCCTGCAGTTCCAGGCACTCGCCAGAGACATGATTTTACTCCAAACCATAATCAAAGTGAAGAGCACCAGGCTGAGCATCTCCAGGCCCCAGAGGGGTTGTGTGTGCAATGTGGGTACGTGTGTGCACGGGTGTGCATACACACATGGACCGTCACACAGGCTAGAATTGCATCAGGTGTCTTTTCCCACATGGAAACCCACCCGCCCACGTGGCCGGAGCTGTCCACCCCAGAAGCCTTGCGGGACACCAGCATCTGGCCGGCGAGTCCACTTTGGTGCTGAGTTGTGGCCCCATGGGACCCCGGGCCGATCCAGGGAGCTCAGAGCCCTGGGCCCACAGCCGGGCCGCCTCCCGCCTGCATGTCCGTGAGCAGGTCCCTCACCCTGCCCGGGCCCCTGGTCCACATCTCAGCCTCCAGCCCCAGCAGAGCAAGGCCGAAAACACCCCTCCACAGGATGGACACACGCACTGCAGCGTGTCAGAGAACAGAGCCCTGTGGAGACTGACCCCCGGGGACCCACGTGGCCACGGGAGGATCCTGGACGCGCGCACACACACCGCAGAGTGCACGGTGCACACAGACCCACCCTACGGGGGGGACGGCTGGTGAAGGCTGCCCAGGGCCGTCTGGGGAGAGAGTGACCCCAGCCCCCGTGAGCCCTGGGGCGACGGAATGTGCTCTGTCTCGACTGTGCAGGTGGTTATATTATATATTTGTCATTATGTATTTGTACATATACCTGTTATATATTTGTTGCTTGAAATGGTGCCTTTCACGGTCTGTAAATTACACCTGGAAAAAGTTGGCTTCACAAGGAGGAGCAGGCGATTCGAAGTCCCCGGGGTCCGTGGGAGGGGCTGTAGCCGTAGGATCCCTGTGCCCCCCACAGGCACACCCTCCACCTCCGCCTGGGAAGACGCCGCGTGGCTTCAAGTTCTCACTTCCAAGTCAGGCCTCCGAGAGCCTCCGCCGCCGCCTGGGGTCCTTCCGGGGTGACCCTGCTCTCTCCCTGCAGGGCCCGGGGCTCCCGGGGGACGCGCGCCCGCAGGAGGCATTAATGAGATGCAGCCGAGGCTGGAACCACTCTGAACGTGCTGAGTGCTGTGCTGCACACGTGTCGCGGCCACACAGATGTCGGGGGCTGGGTGGTGGGGGAGCCAGACAGACAGAGAAGGGGAAGGATGGAGGGATGGACGGATGGAGGGGGGAGAGACAGAGGGACTGATGCAAGGGGAGGAGGAGGGAGGGAAAGAGAAAAGGAGAAGCAGAGCGACGGGGGGACGTTCATTGCGGTGCCATCCACGAGCCGAGATGAGGAAGCTGGGGGTGCATGGACAGACGGATGCAAGACAAAGATGTGGCGGGCACACACACGGAGCACTGTTCAGCCTTACAAAGGAGGAAAAGCCACTTGCGCCAGCTCGGGTGGGCCTGCAGGACGGGGTGTGGAGTACTTCGCCTACCGTGGGCCCCAACAGGCCAGCCCAGGCGCCGGCGCGGCCGCGGGTCCCCGTGACCGGGAAGGCTGGGTGAGGGCACAGGCTCCCAGGTCCCAGAGCTGGCTCGCGCGTGGTGACTGCGGCGGACGGGACAGCGCTGGATGCCAGGGCGCAGCAGAGTCCGCGTGTGTCCTAAGTGCCCTCACCACAGACACAGAGGATAGGAAGCTGGGTCACCCCGTGGGGGGATGGACGTGTCCATCAGCGCCGTCCATGCACATGCCAAACCGCCACATCATGCACCTCGAACATACAAAGTTTGTATTTGTGGGTTAAGCCTCCGTGACACCGGGGAGGAGGGGCGCGGGGAGCGGCGGGCAGAGAGGACAAGCAGGGACGAAAGCACCAGCTCGGGGCAGGCCCCTGGGAGGGCGGGCGGGAGGAGGGCCCAGCCCCACAAACCTCCCTCAACCTCTGCCCCGCGAGCAGCGCAGCTAATGAGGCGCTAATTGGTTTCTTAGCAATATTTATGGCCTTGGAGGATCTGTGTGATCACAGCCTCTTACACGGTCACAGGGCTGTTTACTTTTTTAATAATTAAGCGACACTTAATGACTCAAGGATAACTGGAAGCCTTTCCTCCAGACACGTGACTTGACGGCCGTCTAGCCATCGGCGTCCCCCGACTTGGGGGCCGGGAGACATCAGGCTGTGTCGTGGGGCACGTCTGTGCGGCCACAGGATGTCTGGGAAGTCACCTCACGAGATCCACCCGCCCCACCTCCTACAGGTGAGGCGGCTCACCTGTGCTCACAGGTGAGGTCAGAGGTGCCCCCAAGGAGCAGAACAAGTCCAGGAGGCTCCAGAATCAGACCCCGGCCAGGCCGGCCACAGCAGAACCTGACCTCTGCCCCATTGCTCCCGACCTCCCGACCTCCCGACCCACGTCACACCCACTCCTCCTGGGAGCTCACACCCCCGTCTGCATTTTCACAAGCAGATACTGGGGCACAGTGAGCAGAGGTGACTTTGCCCATGGACACAAGACTGGGAAGACGGGTGCTGGGACCCGCAGTCACCCCGAAGGCCTACAGACGAGGTCCCAGCACCTGGCAAAGCCAGGGGTGCCGGTCGCAGATGTCGCTCTGGTGAATTTTTAATATTTTGGTTTTTATTCGACGGTTAGAATGTACTTGGTACAAAATTCAAAAGATACAACAGTCCACAGTGAAAATGGAGTGCTCTGTCCACCTGCCACGGCTTCACGGCCTGGGCTCCGGGACGCGGGTCCCTAACGCCATCACCTCCACCACCTGGGAGGGCCGAGCCCCTTCCCGCATCTCCAGATGGCAAACCTTAAATACAGATGAGCTCGTGAAGGCTAAAATCTGCCTTGAGCTGCTGGGAGGCCGCTGGCAGGACTTTGGAGACTCCGTCTTGTGGGAATGTTGGTGTGTCCTAGGTCCACAGCTATGAGCTGATGGGGCAGGGGGTGGATGCAGCTCGTGCCCCCTCCCCCACCCCCGGGTCTGGGGTCCCCACCAGCTCCCAGGCTCCCAGGGCAGGGCAGCTCGGGGCCGACTGGTGTGGGCCCGGGTTCCAGCTCTGCCCCATGCCAGCTGTGTGGCCTCAGGCATGTCACCCTGAGCCCCCGTCTCCTGCCCTCCAACACGGGGTCATAGCTGGACCCTCTTTACAAGGTTGTTGCAGGATTGACTCCAATGGTGGACAGGGCGCCTGGCTGAGTGCCCGGCTCGCAAGAAGGTTCTGGATAGTTTCAAGAGCCCCAGGGGGCAGGGGCGGGGGGGAAGGCATTTGTCGGAGTCCATCGTCCTGTCAGTTATCATCATCCAAACGGGAGGACAAGGGCCCGGCCCTCTCCCAGAAGGAGGAGCCACCCTCGATGCCCAGTGCCGTCGGGAGGACGATGAGAGGCCTGTGCAAACACCCACAGGGGCCATGGCCACGCCCACCCGAGAGTCTCGTCCACGCGGGCCATGTGGTGCCCACGGTCTTCCTGCCTTGCCTAGAACATGATGCACAGTCCGAGTCTTCAGAGGGAAGTTGACAAGTCACACGGCAGCCAGAGGGCCCGGTGGCCGGAGGCAGCAGGTCTCACACTCAGACCCCTTGGTGGCCCAGGAGCCACGCTCAGCGCAGGCTGCAGGTGATGTGGACGCAGCTTGTCCAGGCACAGCCCTCTCTGGGTGCCTGTCACCGTGGTGGCACCGACGGGAAGGAAACAGAGCCAAGGCCAGCATTTGCCAGCGTCTTGGAGAACGCTGAAGCTTCTGTAAATGCCCTTCCTGGGACAGCCAAGGAGCAGGAGAAGCGGCCGCCAGGCCCCTGGGAGGGAGGGCCGCCCGGGGGACACCGGGGCTTGAGTGTTCAGTCGGGGCACCCACCGGTGGGTGTGGGTGTGGGTGCACACGGCATGCCCCCTGCAGCGCGGGGAGGAAGCGCAGCCGTGCACCGCAGGCCCTTGTGCCTTGTAGACGGGGAGCAGCCCCACGCGAGGGCTGAACAGAGCAAAGAGTGGGGGGAAGGAGAGAAGTCAGTGCAGCCAGCCCCGAGCACCGAGCCGGGGCCGTCCCGGGAAGGGAGCTGGGTGGCGCTCCGCTGGGCCCACCGCCTGGACCCTGGAGACCAGGCCCTGTGCCCCAGCTCTGCAGAACCGGTTCTGCCTCTGGGAAAAAGCGTTGGTGCAAGATGAGCCTGGAGCCAGGGGGTCTGTGGGGGCACAGCCCACTCCCTCTCCACCTGGACTTGGGTCAAGGAGCAGCACACAGGACCCCAGATGATGGAGTGACCACCCTAGAAGGGGACTTCCAACACGGAACAGCCCACGTGAAGCCACGGCGTTCCCGTGAAACCTGGAGTCATGCCCCCCCCTCCGGCCCGGTGCCCTGGACACGTGCAGGTGCCGGGTCCTGATCTTGGCTCCCAGGCACAGCCCTCTGCGTGGTCACAGCGACACCGGCCCCGTCCAAGCACATACCGCCCGTTGTCAGGGCGCCATGCGACACCGCAGCGGGAAGATCACCGGGGTCAGGACACCAGTCTTTCAAAGGGTTCAGGCCCCGTTCGGTGACCCGACTGGTGCAGAGGCTGGGGAGTTCCCCGAGTCCCAGAAAGACCACTAAATGGTTTTGGGGCATCTACCTTCCTTTCTGATGAAAGTCGCAGGGCCTCTAGAAGGGAAGGTGACCCAGTGAGGCCACACCCCGGCCGGTGGCTGAGCCAGGACCTGCCCCAGGTGCCCTGCCCTGAGGACTGGAGGCCGACACTCCGAGGACAAACGCCCTGTGCCTGTGTATCTAACAGGGGGCATCGGGCACCCCTCCGAGGCCGGCCTGTCATTAATCACGTACCGATCCACTCGCTCACTCACAGACACATCCTCTGGGCCAGTCTCTGCGTTTTGTGCACCGACAGGGCTGCAATCAATCCCACAAATGGGATAAGAAAGCTGTCCCCGGGGCATGAGAGCTAAGCACGCAGGATGGTATTGATCCTCCCGCCAGAGGCCAGGAAGCCAAGTTCACCTCGGCCTCCGGGCACGAGTGGTCTGTGACCCACGAGCTCCCGGCCTGAGGGCGGAACAGGCAGGTGCGGGCTCAGCATCACGTGTCCGCTCGCCTTGCCCTCACCTGCAGAGCCCAAGGACCACCCCTCAGGGACACCAAGAAGCCTGGATCCAAGGTGGGGGGGCGCGGGGACAGACTTGTCAGGAGTAATCGGGCAACACCCGAGGTACGGCTTCGCGGCCTCCAGTGGGCGCCGGCCCTGCAGCAGCCCGAGCGCCAGGCCGGGCGTCTAGAACCAGGCCCACGGTCCGAGGGGCAAGCTCTGTGCTCTGAGTCAACGTCAACAGATTCTGCAAAGCACTTTCCCCGCAGGGCGTGAGAACAGGGCCCTGCGATGTCGGGGAGCCCAGGCCTGTGGCTTGACCTTGGGCAGGTCAGAGCCCCTGGGTGTGCACTTCCTCCCCTGGACCCTGAGGACCCGCCCAAGGCCCTGTCTGCATCACCGGGGTGCTGTGAAGACACAGGTGACACAGAGACCTGGCAGCGTTGGAGATGGGGCGAGGCTGTCGGCAAAGCTCTGCGCATGCACGACAGCCTTGGTCAGAACCCAGTCTCTGCTTCCTCCCAGTTTTGGGGGAGGGCAGGGCACCTGCCGCCCAAAAATACCTGGCTTGTCCCCCCTTTGTGGCTAGGAGTGCCAAGTGACCAAGCTGGTCTTCCCGGCAGGAGCAAAGGTGATGTGGCTTCTGGGTCATGGGCTTGGACAAGGCCACATGCCTGTGCCCCTCGCCTTGTGCCCCCACAGCCTGCAGGGCCTTGAGCTGAGTGAGACCCTCCCCAGCTCTCACACCCACAGAGGTGTGTGTGCTGAAGCCACTCAGAATTTGGGTTCTCCATCACACGCAAAGGAACCCATAACCTAACAAACACAAGGACCGGTCACATTTTTTTTCCACTGACTTGTGGAAATCCAACCATGCTCTGCAAATGTGGTCCCGCACCCAGCGCAGCCACCTCATTTTATAAACACCAGCACCATGGGGCCCAGGTTTGGCACAGGCTTAGTATGCACACTCTCAAATTCTTCTAGTTCCCAGCCCTGCAAGTCCCAGGTGACAGGTGGGGAAGGCCAGGGCCCTATAGTCACCAGGTGAGAGGTAAGGAAGGCCAGGGCCCTATAGTCACCAGGTGACAGGTGGGGAAGGTCAGGGCTCTATAGTCACCAGGTGACAGGTGGGGAAGGTCAGGGCTCTATAGTCACCAGGTGACAGGTGCAGAGGGTCAGGGCCTTATAGTCACCAGGTGACAGGTGGGGAAGGCCAGGGCCCTATAGTCACCAGGTGAGAGGTAAGGAAGGCCAGGGCCCTATAGTCACCAGGTGACAGGTGGGGAAGGTCAGGGCTCTATAGTCACCAGGTGACAGGTGGGGAAGGCCAGGGCCCTATAGTCACCACGTGACAGGTGGGAAGGTCAGGGCTTTATAGTCACCAGGTGACAGGTGGGGAAGGCCAGGGCCCTATAGTCACCAGGTGAGAGGTAAGGAAGGCCAGGGCCCTATCGTCACCAGGTGACAGGTGAAGTCCACCATCCTGCTCACAACCTGATCTGCATGAGGCCAAGTGTGGTGCAGAACCTCATCCCCACACACAAGACCTCTGCTCGTTTCTAGAATCCTTCTGGACCACATGATCCCTCTTGCCCCATACTTCTGAGATTCGATCACTGGAAGGAAAAGAGGTCCGACTCTGTCCCCCTGCTCTGTACACCCAAGCCTCCTGACCTGTTTGCCATGGTTCGGTCCGGCTTGTATCTTTTCAGTTAGTGCAGACGCTGGAAACGAACTGGCCGGGTCATGTGGCCTGGGGCAGGTCCTGAGTCCTC